ATTGGAGGAAGAATCATTAACAACCTGAGATACACAGACAATACAACTTTGCTTGATGAAAGTGAGGATGACTTGAGGCACTTACTGATGAAGGTGGAAGAATACAGTCTGCAGTATGGATTACGTCTCAATCTAAAGAAAACAAAAATCCTCACAACTGGACCAATGAAGAGCATCACAATAAATGGAGAGAAGATTGAGGTTATCAAAGAATTCACGTTGCTTGGTTCTACAATCGGCAAAAATGGAAGCAGCAGTCAGGACATCAGATGACGTATAGCACTGGGCAAATCGACTGCAAAGGACCTCTTTCAGGTGCTGAAGAGCAAAGATGTTTCCTTGAGGACGAAGGTTCGCCTGACACAAGCCATAGTATCTTCAGTGGCCTCATATGCATGTGAGAGCTGGACAATGAATAAGGAAGACCGAAGAAGAGTTGATGCTTTTGAACTGTGGTGTTGGTGAGGAATGCTGAAAGTACTGTGGACTGCTAAAAGAACTAACAGGTCTGTCCTGGAAGAAGTGCAGCCAGAGTGCGCCTTGAAGGCAAGAATGGCCAGACTTCATCTCACATACTTTGACCATGTTGTCAGAAGGGACCATTCCCTGGAGAAGGATGTCATGCTTTGTAAGGTGGAGGGTTGACGAAAGAAGGGAAAGCCCTCAACAAGGTGGATTGACACCGTGGTGGAGGCAATGGGCTCAAGTGTAGCAAGAATCATGGAGCTGGCTCAAGACTGGGCAGTGTTTCATTCTACTGTGCGTGGGGTCGCTGTGAGTTGGAAACAACTCGATGGCACTTAACAACAACAACACAAGTGTTTGAGAAATCATTCATTCACCAGCTATTTGTTGTGTGATGTGTTTTAGGTTCTGTGATAAGTATATGGCATTATTCTAAAGTTTAAAATGACAAATGCTTCCTATGAGATTTAGGAATATAAGTAGGCTTATAACCTGTAAAAGCATGTAATTATTACTGAATCTGATAAAGATTATCCTTAAGTTTCTAAACTAAGTTATTTTATTTGAAACTTTATCATTATGTATTAAATCTGTATACTTCTTAAGGTAATCATCAAAGTTTTAACATCCATTTTGTGGCTTTTTCATTCTTTACTTACAGCAAACTGTTGAGGAGAAAAAGGGTATTTCTGGGTATAGTTACACCCAGGAAGAGCTGGAAAGAGTATCTGCCCTGAAGAGTGAGGTGGATGAGATGAAAGGACGGACGCTGGATGACATGTCTGAGATGGTGAGGCCATAGTTGGTCTGAAGTTTCTTTTATTGTGTAGCCAGAATGCTGGTGTTTTTAAGTTTGTTTTGTTTTCCATGGAACATTCTAACTGTTCATTGCTGCATATATTGTTTGTTCATTCAGTATTCTTTCATTGATCTCTTTTGAATTTTTTCTTCCTATTAAGGTTATTTAACTTCAAATAGTTCATACATTTGTGTGTTTTTTAAGTCTGTTAAAGTTAGATAACATTGAAGACACTTTTAAGATAAAAAATATGTTTTCCCAAATCATACCACCCTAACAAACACAATTATTTCCTTTTTGAGGGTGTCCATAGTGTCTTGCCCCATTCTGGGCTGCTTTTCAGTCCAGGTGCATGGATCCAACTGTACCAGGCATCACCGTGTCACAGTCTCCCTGACTGGTTGATAGATAGATGCTGCACCATATTCTCAGAGTGCTGCCCTCCGGCTTCCTCGGTCATGCAGGCTGCTCCCCAAAGACCCTCTGGATAGCACTGCAATCTAACTACTAAGAAGATTAACATGCAGCACAGCAGAGGTCTCCCAGACCCTCTATATCTATGGCTGGAATCCATTCTGATTGGCCAGTACTTACACCATTCAAGCTGTTAAGTATTTGAATATCATGCTGTCCACAGTTATGTATATTTTACATAACCTATATAATTGTAGATATATATTTTATATAGGGGCTCTGGTGGCATAGTGCCTAAGGCATTTGACTGCTAACCAGAAGGCTGGTGGTTCAAACCCACCAGCCACTCCTTGAAAGAAAGGTTGGACAATCTACTTCCATAGTGATACTGCGTCGGAAACCCAAGGCAGGGTCGCTATGAGTCAGGTTCGACTCGACGGCAGTGAGTTTGGTTTTTGGTTTTATGTTTTATATGATGCAGTATAATTATATACTCACAACTTTGTCATTTATTTTATTCATTCACTGTTAGATCATGAATATTTTTCCATATTGATTTACAGTCTTGATAATGCCAGTGTTAAAATTTTTGTGGTGGTAAAATACATAATAATATTTGTCATTTTACGTACCCATTTTTAAATGTCCATTTCTTTGGCATTAATTATGTTCACACTGTTGTATAACCGTTATCACTGTTATTTCTAAAATGTTTTTATTGCCCTAAACAGAAACTCTCTATCCTTAAGAACTACCTCTCTGTATCTTCCTACCCCTAGCCCTTGATAACCTCTAATCTGCTTATTCTGAATATTTCATGTAAGTGGGATCTTACCATATTTGTCCTTTTGTGGCTGGCTTCCTTCACTAAGCGTAATGTTCCCAAGGTTCATCTGTGTACATACGTATGAGGACTTGATTCTGTTTTATGACTGAATAATATTCCATCATATAGAGAGACCACGTTTTGTTTATCCATTCACCTGTTGATGGACACTTGGGCTGCTAATTGCCATGTTCAATGGTTAGATGATATTCCATCTTACTGAGTTATCAAGGTTTATTAAATCACATTACAGTTGTTTAGCATTGAAGTAATTTAGGTTTTTTTTCACTCATATGTAACACTACAATAAATACCTGTAAGTATATAGTATTTTTGTTCTTTTGAATTTTTTTTTAAGGCTTTTTTGTTTGTTTAAATACCAGGTAAAAAAACTGAATTTGCTAGTATCTGAAAAGAAGTCAGCTCTCGCCCCAGTTATAAAAGAACTGCGACAGCTGCGTCAGAAATGTCAAGTAAGTGAATTTGATTCTGTAGAACGTTTAGCATTTTATTTTGTGGTTCAGATGTACTAGTTAGAATCCTGAATATTTTACTTTGGTGATTTATAGAGAAAGAAATATTACCATTATTATTATGAAGTTTATATGATACTGTGAGAGACAGTAGTAATGTGACCTGGAAGGGTTTTTGTTTCATTTTATGCAGCTCATTTTCTCATAAATTACTGAGGGAGGTGAAGAGAGAAAGGAATTAAAGCTGATATCCACAAGTAAAACCAGATTTTTGCTTTAAATCACATGCATGGCAGGACTGTCAATACGCAGTCACAGGCTTCTATGGCCCACGAGAGCTGGCAAGTTCACGCTGGACTAATGAACTTGCTCGGGGACTAAGTAGAGGTAAATTACGATCACTTATGATAAATGATGAAATGCCATTACTTGGAAACGAATTCTAGTCATTGCTTTAAAGATGAACTGTCAGAAGGTAAATGCCGTCCACAAATCTAGATCAGATGGCCGGTGGCCTCAGCCATTTGACATTAGCAGTTGTTATTGTATCACTCTCCATGTAGTAATTTTAGTTTTAAATATGAGCTGTACTGGATGTGCCTAAGGATGGAACTACAAAACTTTTCATGAATGCCATCCATCAGAGTCAGAGAAGCATAGTGAAAAAATCATGTGGACTTGGAAATCAGAGAGAGATCATCTCCTTTTTATAGAAAATGCTGCAGAGTCTAAGATGAGGAGGAGGTGAGAGTGTTGGGAGGATTCTGTAGCATGATCTTCTCTTGTCCGTCTCCTGTTCGTTCCTCTACACACCAGCGCATTCACAAAGGAAATAGATGAGACCAGCCCTGCTCCCTGTCCCACTTCACAGCAATTTCCTTCACATTATCTAGTGGCTCAGTGGTTAAAGCATTTGGCTGCTAACTGAAAGGTTGGCAATTCAAACCTACCAGCCACTCCATGGGAGAAAGATGAGGCAGTCTGCTTCCTTGGAAACCCTGTGGGGCAGTCTGCTCTGTCCTGTAGGGTTGCTGTGAGTTGGAATTGACTCAGCAGCAGTGGGTTTGGTTTTGTGGTATAGTTTCTCCTTACCCTTTGGATTGGTGTGCACCTAACTTCAGCTTGCAGATGGCCTCTCATTGCCTATATCTCACCCTGTGTGTCCTTTTTGTCTACATACTTTCTGTTGCCGCATTCACTAGTAACTGCTGTCATCTCTTTGTGTTTCCTAATTCAGATTCTTGGAAACAAATGTCTAGGGCAGCTGCTCCCTCTTGGAGCAGTATTTCATGCCAGGCTACATTATAGTCTAGTGGACGTCTCCAGTCAGGTCAGGGTCCAGCTTTAGTCTGATAAGCTATGCTTGTGGGAAGGGTGACTTGATGAGAAAAGAAGGAGATAGGGTACTAGATAGGAGTTCTGGTAGCACAGTGCCTAAGGCACTTGACTGCTAACCAGAATGCTGGTGGTTCAAACCC